CTACAGCCCTTCTGTGCCGGCCACGGGGACGTAGTTTGGCGTGCTGGCACTCATCATCAATGTAAACGACTTGGGGAGGACCCACAATGTGGCCAATGACTCTGTGACCCTTGGGGTGGCCATGGGGACATGGTTTGGCTCCATCAATGCCCATTGTTGGCTTGTGGGGAAGCTGTGTAGGCAAAAAGCCACGGAACTGCAGACAAACATGGACACAGAGACTTGGGGAGGACTCATGATGTGGCCAATGGCTAACACAACACCTGTAGTAGCCATGGGGATATGGTTCAGCCTTTTTGGTGCCCATCACCAACACAAAGATTTGGGAAGGGTCCGTGACACAGCCAATGGCTACTACAGCCCTTCTGTGACGGCCACAGAGATGTGGTTTGGCCCCACTGGTGCCCATTGTCAACACAAAGACTTGGGAAGGGCCCATGACATGGCCAGGCGGGATGTGGATTTGCCCCATTGGCTCGTGGAGAAGGCACGAAGCAAAAAGAGATGGCACTGGGGCTGAAGATGGATACAAAGACTTGGGGAGGACCCATGACATGGCCCAATGGCTACTACATCTGGTCTGTGTTGGCCACGGGGATGCAGTTTGGTCCCGTTGGCACCTGTCATCATCACAAGACTTGGGGAGGTCCCATGACGTGGCCAATGGCTACCATTTTTTTTCCATGGTGGCCACATGCCAACAGCTGGCATGCACCATTCATTAGGTGAGATGTCATGTGGGCAAGCAGTGAGGAGGGAGGAAATTTTTAGGGAAAAAATTTGCAATAATGGCACTAAAATGGTCCTTAAAACCCGCGTGTTGATTTTCACCACCCACTGGTGCTAACAAGTCTGTTTAACCACCCCCACTGCTGCAGTCTGGGGGGATGGAAACCACATCGCTGGGAGTGGACAAGGGGGATGGACCCCATCTCCCTCCATCTGTCCATCCAGGGCATCAAATCCATGGCTGGGGTGGGGTCGAAGTCCTCCAGGTTTCACCTCAGGGTGCTCAGACAGCCCCAGGGGCTCATCCATAGGCATGGGGAGCCCCAAAGCCCACCCCAAAGGTGGTTTGGGAGTGACAGGGACCCCCCCAGGGCACGCTCACGCTGTGTGAGTGGGGCCAGCACCTGCAGCCTCGGTGCCTGGCCACGTTGCCAGCCCAGCTTCAGGTGGTGGCGGCCCCGGCGGTGGCCCCGGTGGGCCAGGTGGCACAGGGTGGGTGGCAGCAGCATGGCGCTCAAGGAGGGTGCGGTGGGAGAAGCCCTTGGTGCAGAAGCGGCACTGGAAGCGCTCAGGGCGGTGGGTGCGCATGTGGACATTGAGGGAGCTCTTCTGAGTGAAGCGTTTGCAGCAGACGCCACACTGGAAGGCACGGACGCCCGTGTGGGTCACCATGTGCTTCAGCAGGTAGTCACGGAGTGAGAAGGAGCGCCAGCAGATGGAGCACTGGTGGGGCTTTTCGCCTACAGAGAGACAACCGTGGGTCAACATGGATCGATATGGGTCAACACAGATCGATACAGGTCAGCATGGATCAATGTGGGTCAACATGGACCAGCATGGAGCAACAGAGGCTGACAGGGTCAATATAGATCAGTACAGGTCAACATGGAACACAGGTTGACAGGGGTCAACATGGGTCAATACAGATCAACGTGGAGCAACATGGAGCAACACAACTTAATGGGTCAACATGAGTCAACACACATCAGCATGGATCAGCACAGGTCAACACAGGTCAACATAGATCAACACAAGTCAATGGATCAACACGGGTCAAAAGGGAGTGACCTGCATCAATGAGAGTCCACACAGGTCAACATGGATCAACATAGGTCAACATGGATCAACACAGGTCATCATGGGTCAATACAGGTAACATGGAGCGACATGGATGAACATGGACCAACAGAGGTCAACACAGAACCACATGGGTCAACACAGATGAACATGAGTCAACATGGTTCCACAGGTGAACATGGATCAACATGGATCAGCATAGGCCAACAGGGATTAACATGGCTCAACAGATCAACACAGGTCAACATGGAGCAACACACATCAAGATGGGTCAACATGGATCCACAGGTGAACATGGATCAGCATGAAGTCAATACAGGTCAACATGGGTCAGCAGATCAACATGGGTCAAAATGGAGCAACACAGAGCAACATGGGTCAACACATCAACCCAGGTCAACGTGGAGCAACATAGATCAACATGGGTCACCAGATTAACAAAGCAACATGGAACAACATGGGCCAACACAGGTCAACATGGGTGAACACAGGTCAACATTGGATCAACATGGGTCAACAGAGAATGACGTGGGACATAATGGATCAACACAGGTCAACATTGGATCAACATGGGTCAACGTGGGATGAATGACGTGGGACATAATGGATCAACACAGGTCTACATGGGTCAAAATGGAGCAACATGGAATGACATGGGTCAACATAGATCAACAGGGGTCAACATGGATCAACACAGGTCAACATGGGTCAACACTGGTTAGCACAGGTCAACATGGGTCAATGGCGGTGAACAGAGCCACACAGGTCAACACCAGGCAACAGAGAGTGTGTTGGAGAGAGAATGGAGTAATATGGAGCAACACTAGATCAACATGGGTCAACACAGACTGATGTGGGTCACCACACAGTGCCACGGGTCAACATGAGTCAACACCGAGTGACACAGGTCAACACTGATCAACATGGAGCAATGCATGTCAACAAGGATCAACACAGAGCAACATGTGTCAACATGGATTGACATGGAGCAACATGGGTCAACACAGAGCAACGTGGGTCCCCATTAACCTCCCTGTCCCCATCCCTCCACCCCCTGTCCCCCAGCGTCACCACCCCCATCCCAATGTCCCCGTCCCGGTGTCCCCATGTCCCCACTCTTTTGCTGCACCACCCCCATCACCCCATGCCCTTGTCCCCCCAATATCCCCCCATCCTTCCATGGCCCCACCTTGCCCTACCCCTCACTGTCCCCACTGCATCGCCCACAAGGAGCCCACTCCAGCCCCGTGTCCCCCCTGTGTCCCACCCCCACTACGGTGTCCCCTCACCGGAGTGGATGAACATGTGTTTGGTGTAGTTCTTGCGGGAGCTGAAGGTCTTCTGGCAG